TTTTTCTGTAAAAGGCTCATATCTTCAGAATCAATAACCTTATATTACAAAATTTATCAAATTCTTTACATTTTCCATGAATGGATCCGGAAAAGGCTCATTTTTACAGAGTTTTTACAGAAATAATAGATAAAACTTTGAAAGGAAATGGGAGAAAGAGAAATGAAATGAAAGGGAAGGGAAGAACAAAAGGTAATAGGAAAACAAAAGGAAGGAGAAGGAAGAGGCGAACAAAAGGAGAACGAAAGAGGAAAAAGCAAAAAAAAATTAAGCTTTGCCAGAAAAAGCTTAATTTTTTTTTGCTATATTGCAGCCACAGTGGTAATTATTACTCCAGTATCACATGATACACGTGATATAGAATACATTACGCAATACTTAGTATTGCCAAAATAATTTTTTTTTTAAATATTAATTTTAATATATATAAATATATACTTAAATTAAATAGTACAGTTGTTAGATCATGAGATAATTAATAGTGTAAGTTTTGAGGTGTTTGGTTCAGTTCCTAAAGTGAGTAAAAATAAATATAATTTTAATTTAATTAAAATATATATAGTATGTATTAATATATGGCATTGAACAACAATGCATAATATGTTGAACTACACATAAGAGTTAAATGATGTGTATATTAACATTATGCGTTGATATACTCCAGTATATGGTGTTGATTAATATTGTAAATCACATTGAACAACTAGCTAGTGTTGATCAACATGTATACTAGTATCAATTAACACTTTTAAAACTTGCTGATGAACCAGTTACTGATATTTTGTAATAATTGATCTACATTCTGGTTTGTTTGACATATATGCAATGATGCAATGCTTGCACTTGTGATCACTATTTTTGCACATAATGTATTTTGCATAAATATTGTTACCATATTTATTTATATTACACCCACTTTATTACTTTTAAATAGGTAAAGATCAATTTTTATTGTATATTAGATATGAAATTACTTTGATATTTTTTATTAGATGACATAAAGAGACATGAGGTATAATGTAACGATACAAATTTCTTCTAATAAAGGTACTCAATAATAAAAAAAAAGAAAAAAAGATATTTACTTTATCTTTTCCGATTAGAGATAATTTTGATATAGTAATGGACCAACATATTAAAGGTATGCCAAACAAGCTGAAATTAGTGAAATATTAAGTTTTTGTTTATAACAATTCATGTTTAATATTTTATATAACAACTAATTATATTCTTAATTTAAATAACTAGATTGTAAGTAATGTGCATATAATTTATAGTAATTACTTTTATATTATCTTTATATCTAACTATGGGCCGGTGCAAAAAGATTGGTATCTCGCCCAAAAGGAAAAGATTTGTGCCAAGAAAAATGATGTGTAACCAAAACAAAATGGGCTGAAAAAAAAATATGTATTAAAATGACTTCGAATTAACATTTTTTATTAATATTTTTTTATTCTACCATGGATAGTTCCTCCACAAAATGAAGTGGCGCACCACTAACCACTAACGAAAAGTTGATGATAATTAGCGTTTACAATTATTTTTCAGGGGATAACTTTAAAAAGGAGGATCATCCAAATGTTACACTACGCAAGCGTGTTGCTGAGGCGTTGGGCATAGGGAAAGTACAATTGGGAGGGTAATTTCAGACTGCAAGAGCTGCGGAGATGATACTTTTACACCACACAAAATGCTCGGACGTCTTAAATTACAACTTGATGAAGTCATTTCAGAACTTTTACGTACAAAAATCTTAAATGCTAATAAAGCAGCCGAGCTTCTTTCTACACATACCTTACAACAGTTTCTTGCTGAAAAGGGGTATAACTTTTCTAAATGGAAACTTCTTCGGGTGTTACATAAATTGGGCTTTTATTATGGTCAAGGAGAACGGAGAAATATTCTTCATGAGTTACCTAACAATGTTGCATTCCATAGTCACTACCTACGTTTTTGTTTTGCAAATTTAGAAGGCCAAAATGATGTTCCACGCCATCCAGAAGTTTTTCTTGATGAGTCCTACTGTCATTTACACCATAATGCTCGCAATACTTGGGTTCCTCATCTGCTCATCATGGTGTTGTTTTAATGCCTGGGCATGGTCTGTTAGTAGTGATTTTTGGAGCAATTATTGTATTCCGAAATGCGTCTTCTAACAAGATAAGTGGTGAGCTTGTTCCTAATTCTATTCACATCTGGGATCCAACAATTAAACCTCCAGGAAATAGAAGGAGAAAAAGGAATAATGCAGAAGAATGGGACGATATTCCCAATGTAGTTAAAGAAGCAAATATTGTTCCTAACCAAGTAGATTATCATGGGAATTTTACTGCAGAAATTTTTGAGGACCTTTTTTCAACTCTTTGCGAAACACTTTATGAAAAATATGGGTCCGTATGTATTCACATGGATGGAGCAAGCTATCACAAACGATGGGTTGAAAGTATTCCAACTTCAAGCACAAAAAAGCAAGAAATTATTGAATGGTTAAATGCACATGATATTGCTTTTTCTGATGAATTAAGAAAACCAGAACTTTTGGAGCTGGTTAAAATAAATAAAGAAAAGGTTCCATTTTCTTGTGTTAAAATTGCAGAACAATATGGACATGAAGTTAATTTTACCCCTCCTTACCATTGCGAACTCCAGCCTATTGAAGGTGTTTGGTCAGTTGTAAAGGGTGAAGTTGTGCGCTCAGGACCACACCCAAACCTTTTATCTATTAGGAATACACTTCTAAATGCATTTAAAGAAAAAATTTCTTCAAAGGTTATTGTAGGACTTTGGAGAAGAGCTCTTAAAAATGCTAAGGAATAATTTGAGTCCAATGAAAATATACAATTATTCGAAGATGCTTATAGCAGTTCCGATGAGGATCACATGACATGACGTAATATTTATATCATATCTTTCCTAATACATACAGATAATATTTAAATAATAAAAAAAATATTTATAAAATAAAATTTTTTTTATCGATGCAATATTTGAGGTACCAATCTTTTTGCACCGGCCCATAATTAATAATTAATAATACTACAGGGTGTAAGTTATATGATATCTATATTTATATTATTTGTACAATTCAATCTAACTAAATTTCTTTATTTGTTTAAAAAATTATTTCATAGATGGTAAGTTATTTATTTAATTCTATTATTACTTATTGTTATGATATTTACATATAATTTAAACTATCTAATTTCTTTATTTAAAAAATTATTAAATAATATAGGG